TTCCTTTCTTCAAGTTTCTTTCTTTCTTTCCGAATGATCGGCCTTTCGGTGGGCTCCAACGGCGGAACCGGTTGACAGTTGTCTCTACTTTCGTAGTCCCAGGCCTTTCAGCCTTGTAGTTTTTTTCGTTTTCGCCCTTCTGAAGACTCGTAGGCACCCGGAGGTCTATCTAATGTGTGTCCTAGCCTTCGGTCCACTTACTCTAGGTTTCCATGTAAACGCATGTACTTTGAATCTTTATCAAAATGCGCTCGTAGATGTTTGCCGTTTGGACGGTTGTGTAGGTCTGTAGGTGCGTGGTGCGTTGTATGTCTACGAAAGTTGGGTATAAGTAGGCCAGTCATTGAATTAGGGGTTGTTGACGTTGTTTTTCTTACCACGGGCTTGCTGGAGGTCCCATTGTCTGTTTGTTCTGTTGTTGTTGACATGTGCGCAAACCATCACAGTATCCGTATGTGAGTGTACACTAAGTGTGTTTGTTGTTTCATTTCTCTGACTCTACATTCTTTCATCCAGTGACTTGTAATTTATATGCTTGGTTTGTTAGCATCGACCCCTCTTCTCCCTCTTCCACGTGTGCCCGAGCTTTTCTCTTTCCCCTCTTATTCAAACAAGAAAGAACAATAATAATGTTGAATGGATGAACATCATCTATGTTGCATTGACGAATCTCTACCGCAAGAAGAAATCCTCATAGGTCAAAGATATGCATGGACAACACAAAACAGTTATGTGGTCTGTCTGCTCCGTCTGTCGTGTCTGTCTGTCTGCTCTGGTTTGTATGTCTGTCTGTCCGTCTGTCTGTTTGTCAGTTTGTCTGTTTGTCGCCTTATATGGTCAGTCAGTCAGCCAGTCAGTCTTTTTGTCTGTTTGTCTCTCCGTCTGTTTGTCTCTCCGTCTGTTTGTCTCTCCGTCTGTTTGTCTGTCTGTCTGCCTGTCTGCCTGTGTGTCTGTCTGTCTTTCTTTCTGTCTCTTTTTTTCTTTTTGTCTTTCTGTCTGTCTGTCTTTCTGTCTCTTTCTTTCTTTCTTTCTGTCTGTCTGTTTCTCTATCTCCTAATCTGTCTGTCTATCTGTCTGTCTGTCTGTCTGTCTCTTTCTTTCTTTTTCTTTCGTTCTTTCTTT